TCCTCACCATCATCCTCCTCACCATCCTCCTCACCATCATCCTCCTCACCATCCTCCTCACCATTATCCTTCTCACCATCATCCTCCTCACCATCATCTTCCTCACCATCCTCCTCACCGTCATCCTCAACATCAACATTAGCATCCTCATCCTCATCCTCATCCTCATTCTCATCCTCATCCTCATCCTCATCCTCATCATCGCCATTGGGTCAGTTCCCTTCTCATCTTAGCTATTAGCTGACTGTATTGCTTTGGACAAATGGCCTCATGGATTCTTACAGTATAGTCTAGGTGCTCCATTTATTCGTTGGATGAATTGATGAGTTAGGAGGGTCAGCTCAATGCTCTTTAGGGTCCTTTCTGGTTTCAGATATAAGATTTTATGTGATATTGGACCAAGAGGAAAGCTGAAGGAGGAAGGGGGACAGAAAAGAGAAACCACCCACAGAAGGAGTGATGTGGGGGTCAGAGGCCTGGAGTAGTCTGGAGAGGGAACAGGTCATCCGGAGGAGATGAAGGTGTCCAGTAGTTCTGCTGACCCTGTAGGTCAATAGGTCAATCCTTGAGAAGAATGTAGACGGTTCTGACCTGGGAGTAATGCTTTCTAGAGCCTATGTTTCCAGGGCAGGCTTAAAGGGATCAGAGGGCAGTGGTGTGGGCTAAGAAATGGTTAAAATGGTTACTTTGGGTTGTTTTGGAGTCTCTCTCTGACAGAAACTGCAGAGTAACCTACTTTCTGAGGACACCACTCCTAATGGTGAGGAGGATGAGGATTTCTGACCTCCCTACCTGCCAGGGGGAGAAGTTAGCAATGGCCCCAGCAGAAGGCTGCCCCTAATGCGATGTGTCTCCCTCCCTCTTTCAGGTCTGAATGCTGGTGCTTTTTATGCCTTGTCCACTCTGCTGAATCGCATGGTGATCTTGCACTACCCGGTAAGGTAGTCCCCCGAGCATGCTGGACCTGAAGAGCGTGAGATTTCTGTCCATCTCAGCAGGACCTGGGGCAGCAGTTAGCTCTAGTCTCTGGTTCCCCCCACCCCCCACAATTCTAGGCAGCGTGGTATGGTGGTATGCTTATGGATTTGGAGGGAGACAGCCCTGGATCTCCCCTGGCTCTGGTGCCTCTAAATTGTGTGACAAGCTGGTTAGCCTCTCTGAACTCTCATTCTCCTTCCTGCAAAAGAAACATAATTACTTATTGAAAGATTATTTTTTAGGATTAGAAAGTAAACAATACTATGTATGTGTGTGTGCATATATATATATTCACCTGTTCTATGTATGTAAAGCACATGGCATGGTGCCTAGCAATACAGTAGGTAAACATACAGACATGTAGATCATGTATGAAAGATTTAATTTGTAAAATAGGGGCAGAGTTTAATTTTGAACTCTTAGTTGCTCGACTGAAAGCATTCCTTTTTTTAAAAAAGATTTTATTTATTTGTCAGAGAGGGGAGAGAGAACACACGAGGAGGGGGAGGAGCAGAGGCAGAGGGAGAAGCAGGCTCCCTGCTGAGCAGGGAGCCCGATGCGGGGCTCGATCCCAGGACCCTCAGCCGAAGGCAGACGCTTAACCGACTGAGCCACCCAGGCGTCCCTGAAAGCATTTCTTAAATATTTCCAGAACCAGCAAGGGCTGGATCCTGGGAGTGGGGTACTGTGTGTCCTGGAGTTGGGAATCCCAGGTCCAACCCCCTTTTCAAAGGACAAGGGTCTCACCCTTGCAGAGGTGGTAGGCCACTGTGGCTAATGTGTTCCAGTTTTGGAGTTTGATAGGTCTGAGTTCAGATCCTAGCTCTGCACTTAATAAATACCACACGACCTCTGGCTAGCAGGTTAATCTCACTGTGCCTCAGTTTTTTTCATCTGTAAAGTGTAGAATATTGATTTCTAACCTTATGGTGGGGAATTTTGAGAAGCAAATGAGATTATATAATGGTTATCTTCCCATTCCTTTTGGCACTAATAGCTCAAAAAAAAAAAAACAACAACTAAGTACAGAATATTTGGATATATGTATTTCGGTCTCCTCGTTTGTGAAATGGGGATAATGATAAATAAGATAAAAGGGTTGCCATAGGATTAAATTTAAAAAAGATCTACTTCAAAGTGGGTCTAGGACAGTTTGGTTGACCTCAGCATCCAGGATCATGCACACACATCTGGGTTATATTAGATTGGGAGGAGCAACTATTCTAGTAGTCTCTCCCACTGGCAGCTTCTTACCCTGGTACGTTCAGAGAATAGGCTCTAATGGAGTCTGAGTTACTTGCCTTTCCCCTGTCACCTCCTGGTGACTGTGCTCTGTCTGGTGTCTTGTCCCATTGCTGGGTGATGACTGGGGCTGTGGTTTTCCCAGGGGGAAGAAGTGAATGCTGGAAGAATAGGCCTGACCATCGTCATTGCAGGAATGCTTGGGGCTGTGATCTCAGGCATCTGGCTGGATAGGTCGAAAACCTACAAGTAAGTGACCTCCTCTTGGACTGAGAATTGGGGACCCATGTTTTGAAATGACACGTTCCTCGGCAATATGACTCCAAAGGGTTGGGTGCAGCAGCTGGGGGTCTCAGTGGTCAAGTGGTTCACATTTATCTTCTCTAAGCCTCAGTTTCTCCATTTATAACATGAGGGAAATAGTACACATTCCATGGGGGATCTTGGTAAGATCAGAGATGGAATACAAGAGGCCTAGCACAGTACTCTTCCCCATAGCCCCATGTAGTTTGCAGAAGGGACAAATGAGGGAGAAATGAAAATGAATGTAGAAAAATGCCAGCAGTTGGAAAGCTTATGGAAACCCCAAAGAGTGGCAATGAGGAAGTGATCCCCTGCCCCATTCTGCTGGCTCCCAGGGGCTAACCAAGGTGTCTGGGCTAACTCTGGCTTACAACTGTATTATCTTGCAACTGCTTATACCTCCTTCATAAATATTGTGATGTGCTTTGGGCCTGAATGCCCATTGTGTTTCCAGGAGCCCAGAGCAGTCTTTCTAAGATTTTAGTGTATGCCAGGCTAACCCAGGACGCTTATTAAAAATAGATTCCTGGGCTCCATCCTCATGGATGCCAATTCAGTGAGGGAAACTGCTTTTGTAAGGAGCAACCCACCCAGGTGCCTCTAAGCCAGGCTTAGAAAAAGGCTCTAGAGAATGCAGACCCAACACCCTTCCCTTCTTGTTGCTCCTTTCCAGTGCTGGGCATGCACTGGGTGCTCAATTAATACTGGTCAACTGGGTAGCTGCCAGGTTTGTCCTACACTGGGGCAGGGCAGCTGCTTTGTCGAGGCCTCCGAAGTTCCCCGTGTCTGGAGGCGACAGACCTGTTCTCTGCCACACAGACCCGCTTCTGTGAGGCTCTGGTCAGACCAGGTCTCACTCTGGCTGCCCCAGACAAAGGCCAGTTGAGGTCATCCCTGGGGATGTGGTTGCCTGGCTGAATGTGACGTGGAGCCTGGCGTGGCTTAATGACTGCTGGTGGAGCTTGGCTGCCATCTCGTCTCTGTGATCTGTCAGTGGCTTGCTTCAGCCAGACCCAAGAGCAGTGAGGACTGGCCACCCCCAAACCAGCAAACAGCAGTGTCCCTTCTCCCAGGGCTTGCTCTGTGGCGGGAGAGGGGAAGGATTGGAACGACAGCTGGGCTGGGATGTGGGCAGCCAGATGGCTGAGAAGAACTAAAAAATACAGGGAAAGGGCTGAGGGCACACTTCAGAAGGTAGACGCCACTGTTTGCTAGCATCACTGATGTCTTACTCCTGCCTTCAGCATGAGATGCCCTTCACCCTGTACTATGACCCGAACAGAGAAAGGATGCTCTACAATCAGGGCATTTTGGTGCCCGTTCTCCTCTCCCTGCGGCTCCCAGATTTGTCCCGTTTGGTTTGGAGGCTGGAAATGGGGTGGGTCACATCCCGTTATTTGAGGCTGGGACTACTTACAGTTTTTCTAAATGGGTCAGTGGTTTAAAATGAAGCTATGGTTAAGAAAATATGGCAAAAGGGGAGCTTGTGTGGCCGGCAAAAGAAACTGGTATCCATGAAGTTGCCTTCTGTGGGGTGGGTGGGACCAGATGAGGGTGCAGGATGGAGGATGAGGAAGCCCCTCTGCCTTCAGCAGCTGCTTTGAAGCCCCAGGTAGGAGGGGCATCCTTTGCAGCCTCTGGCTTTGAGCTTTCCCGAAGATGCAACCCTGTAGCGTGTCCGTGTGTATTAGTGTATTAGGTCCTGTGTGCAGCAGTAGAAAGAGCAGCATAGGTTTCAGATCCCAGCGCTGGGTCCAAATCCCAGCTCTGCATTTACTCAATGGGTAATTCTGAATAAGTAACTTAATTGGTCTGAGCCTCAGTTTCCTCATTTGCAAAATTAGGGATAGTCATCCGTTTCTTGCAGGGCTTTTGTCAGGCTTGAGTGCAATAAGAAATGCATGCGAAGTGCTTAATAGAATTCCCAGCACCCAATAAATGCGGGATTAGTTTGATAAAACCACAGCGTACGTCTGCTGGTGCCCCCACCATGTTTCTTGTTTCAGGGGGATGCGTGAAGGCTTTCGGCTTTCAGCTTTCTGTCTCTTAGTCCTCATTTCATGGCAGGCGGGCAGAGGGATGTGCAGAGCCCACGGCCTGCCATAAGCAGGACAGGGAGAGGAACACAGGTCCAGCTGCGGGGGTGAGGCTGCAGCAGAGTCACGAGTGGGCGAACCCCAAACAGAAAGCAGCAGGCTGCTGCTGATCCCTCTGAGGGGACTGGCAAAGGGGAATGTCATGGGGAGTGGGCAGAGCTTTCTCACTTTGGCTTGGGAGTCAAGTGCTTAGTTCAGGGCTGGAGAATGTTCTCACTTACTTCCTGCTGTCTGGAGCAGAGTAGTTCAGGTTCGGTGAAAAATCCGTGCTGCACCTGTGCCAGTGGCAACACGAAGAACTTCGAGATGACAGAGAATCTGAAAGTCAGCTCACTGCCCAGCATGGCCATGGGGTCTTGGGGCCAAGCAGACCAGCAGAATGAGGTGGCTTCTGGGGTAGTCCCACACGCCATGCTGCCTGACAGTAGCTGATATTTGTTCTGTGTTTATTTGGTGGAGGACGAGGAAGGGGGAGTGTTGTGCCCTTCCTGCTTGGGGTGCAGCTTGATATTGTTGAGGGGGTTCTATAGGAGTTGAACACATATGTAGCAAGAAGGCTTCCTCCTCTCCTGATCCTCCCCTTTGTAGCACTGGCCAAAGTGTAATTAAGTAATAATTTGTGTGATCATTGGTTCAGTGTCCATCAACCTCATGGACAGAAAGTTCTGAGAGCTGATGTCCCAGCACACAGCAGAGGGCTTGACACATAGCAGGTGCCCAATTTATACTTGTATGTTGGATGGATGGATGGATGGATGGTTGGATGGATGGATGATCCTGTTACAGTCAGAAGTGTATGACTAAATGTCTTTGCCTCTGCTTGTAGGGAGACAACCCTGGTGGTCTACATCATGACAGTAGTGGGCATGGTGGTGTACACATTGACCTTGAACCTGGGATATCTGTGGGTAGTGTTCATCACTGCTGGCACAATGGGGTAAGTTTGACCTCTGACCTGTCTAACTGGAAAGCAGCATCCCATGGCTCCTAGAGCTGCCGACTTCCTTGGAAGCAACACTGACCCCTTTGCTGGCTTCTCATTGACCTCTGGAGATGTGGAAATCGTGGCCAGAGGTCTTGTTTACTTGCAGCACTTCAAAAGGCCACCCAGGGCTTCCATGCTGTTGGGATGGAGTCTCTCTTTCACAGACCTCAGGGAGGCTAGGAAATGTTTAGAGTCTTTTGTAGCTCTGCCTGGGACAGTGTGGGGTCGGGGAAAGTGCACACGGCTGGGAATCAGGAAGTCTGCCACTGCTGATCTTTAGATGACAGGTGCATCACTTAACTGCTCTGAGCCTCAGTTTCCTCATCTGTAAATGAAGATGAATGGCCTGCCTTGTATAGTTGTTGCAAGGAGTGAGAGAGAAATAAGTGTGAAAGCAGCACGAAGTGTGGTACAGATGTAAGAAATTAGAGTTGGAATTTTCTGGACCTGTTGTATGAGAAAGCACAGGAAACAGCACACTTTCCACAGGGGTCTCTGCTTAGCTTTACATCCCAGTTGTTTTCCTGTGGCCACTATATGAATGTGTGTGTGAGAGAGGGAGACAGAGACAGAGACAGACAGACACTCAGTCTTTCTCAGCTGGTGACTCTCCAGAGGGAAAAAGGAGGACTCTGAGATCCTCCTTCCAGGTCCCAGAGAGCATGGAGATGCTGTTCGGTGTCCAGGGACTTTCCACTCCCAGCACAGGGCCTGGGAACCCGTGACACAGAATTTCTCAGCTGAGGACTAAACACTGCAGGCATCCGCCATTCCCTTCTGCCAGTGTTGACCCTGTCTGTAATTGATGGCTGGACACAGAAGAAGCAGGAGACCCCCGGGGGCTCCTGAGCATGAAGCCTACATATGAACTTCTTCTTGACCTGCAGGGGCCTCTCTTTCCTTGGTATGGCCACCTGGGGGATGGCCTGATTATTCAAAGGCCTGGAATGTCTTGATGACCAGAAACAAAACAGGAAAAGGAGTTCTGAGGGAGGAGGTGGGCTCCTTATCCTTCTTGCCCTTGAATTTCTCCATCACCTTGTTTCTGTGATCTGGTCTTCAGCTTCTTCATGACTGGCTACCTCCCGCTGGGATTTGAGTTTGCTGTGGAGCTGACATACCCAGAATCAGAAGGCATGTCGTCTGGCCTCCTGAATGTGTCTGCCCAGGTAGGGCTCTTATTTGGTGGTGGCCCCAAAGCAGTGGCTCTTTGTTTCCTACTTGACTTGGCTGCCACAGGCATTGTATCGTGGTAGCTCAGTTCTCTCATGGGCTAGTTGGCCGGGCCCTTGTTTTCAGTCTTCTTTGTGCCTTTCCAGGTATTCGGGATCATCTTCACCATCTCCCAGGGCCAGATTATTGACAACTACGGAACCATGCCTGGGAACATCTTTCTCTGTGTTTTCCTCACCCTTGGAGCAGCCCTCACTGGTGAGTTGGGGCCTCAAGACAAGATGATGCTCACTCAGGCTGCTCGTGGGCTTAGGCTGTTGGCAATTTGAGACCTCAGTGTTTTGACTGATCATACAGATTGGGGGTACACGTGCAGACGGGCAGAGGGCAAGGCTTATTAGGAAATGTGTTTGAGGAGCAGTAGCGTGTTTTGGTGGAATGAGCCTGGGATTTGGCGCCAAAAGACCCTTGTTTGCATCCCAGACTGTGACACTGACCTCCATAGCTGTTTGACCTTGGACAAGTGGACCAACTTCTGGAAGGCTCAGTTTCTTAATCTATAAAATGGGAGTTGTTGTAAGGATTGGAGCAACATGTGCAAACTCCCTGGCCAGTATAACTGATCTATAAATGAAGGCCAGTGTCATCCTTGGCTTCTGCCTGTAGGGACATCAGTGATCCCCAGGCTTTGTCAAGTTGGTGGGTAGAACCTCCATCTCCCTGGAATATCTACAGTAGGTCTGAGATACCTGTGACCCTTAGGAAAATGAGGGCTCCCTCTCTTGGGTGAACTTCATCATTGGTCTCTTGTTAATTGTGTCTTTGGTGTTCTCTCTCAATCTCTTGACCTCAGCATTCATTAGGGCAGATCTTCGGAGGCAGAAAGCAAACAAAGAAACTCCTGAGAATGTGAGTATGTGGAAGTTTTGAGAGCTGGGTCCCAGGCTTTGTTTGAGGGTGTGGCAGCATGGGTGGGCCAGGGGGTGGGAGGGGGCGCCTCCCAGAGTGGACTGGTTCTCTGGAGGCCGTGAGACCAGCTCAACTTGCATAAACATGGCGCCCAAGAGTTTCCTGGGTGGGTGTTCAGCATGGCTTTTGTGTCTGCTCTTTCCCGGACTCTTCTGCTTCCTTCCCTTCTCCTGGCCTCCCTGCTGTGGTCCCCAGAGCACGTCACTGTTGTCACAGTCTGCTGAGCATCGCCCACTCCTTGGATCCTGAGACAAGTCCTGAGACCCTGGCTGCACTGCTTTCAGCCTGGGGTCAGTGGCTGGAGAGGAAAGGTGGGAGCCTACCTCGACCACGGTGGTGGTGGCCCCGAGGCAGTGGTTCTCCTGGCGTGTTACAGCCCCTTAGGCAGTGCCATGGGCATGGAGGGACTGGAGCCTGTGCATTTCCAGTAAGGCTCTAAAAGGGCAAGTCAGGGCATAGGAGCTGATGGTGGCAGAAGTGGGAGGACCAGGAGTATGATTTAGAACAGAAGAGGGTTTCTCATCTGCTTTAATCAGCTAGGGACTATTCTAACCAAAATGTTAGGTATCAAATCTGAGCCAGGATGAAAGCAATTTCAAATCTGAGGAGGAAAAGTGGGATATTACTTAAAAAGCAAATAAGCCACCCAAAACCTATTACAGAGGGAATGAATACATGTTCTTTGTAGGAAAACTAAAAAATACAGAAAAGTATACAAAATTTAAAAATCATCCTGTAATATCATCGCCTAGAGATGAAATGCTGTTTTTTTGCAATTACTTATATGTCTATATCTACATATAATATGTGTGTGTATATATATATATCTGTATATATATATCTGTATATATTTATATATGGATATGTAAATATTTTTAAAACAAAAATGGAAACTTCTATCTGCTTTTTTACTTGTGAACACCTTATCAGGTCGTTTTTCTTTTATAACATACTTCTAATTACAACAGTGTTTTAATGAGTGCACATGGGTAAACCATGATTTATCAGCCTTGCTGTCTGTGGACATTAAGGTTGTTCTCATTGTTATAAACAGTATCGTGATTAAAGTCCTGGAAGCTGAATCTCTGTGCATGTTCTCAAGCACAGTATTTCCTTGAGAAATGGATCAGTGGTCATGCATATTTTGAAGATCTTGATATGTATTGCCAAACTGTTGTCGAGAAAGGAACTACCAACACTATCAATTTATATTGCTATAGCAGTGTAGGAGTGCCAACACTGAAGCTTTATCATTTTGGAAAACTTTGCCAATTTCCTAAGGCAAAAATGGTATGTGAAAGAGTTATATTTAGTACTGTAAGGACATATGTTGGCAGATAGATGATAAGCTTTCATTGATTATTTGTCTTCTGATATCACACTTTGGAGTTGGCAGGCTACAGCAGGTAGCATGTGGAGGGCGGAGCCTCCCACAGGAAACTCAGTGGGGAGACAGGGAAGGCCTTGGAGCAGAAATGCTGTTCTCTAGACTGGTGTGAGGACCCTGGCATTGCACCATGAGGATGGGCTTTCACTTGGGCCAGATACAAGGAGACATAAGGGTTTGGAATATATAGTGAGCCTGGGAAAAATGTGCCTATAATAAAACAGGAGAGATTTCTTGTGAGAAGGTGTCAATTTGGAATGTGACACATTGTGTCAAGTGATAGGAGATTTTGCTGTTTACTTTGTAATCTGCATTTATGTTGGCAGATACAGGCAAACGGGAAGAAAGAAAAGGTCACCTATAATCCTAGCACCTGGAGATAACCTAGTAACATTGTAGTCCATTGTTCAGGGTTGTTTTCTGTGGGTCTTCTGGTGCGGTTCCTAGCCTGCTTGTTTACTTAACAGTAGTTTGACAACCTTTCCACAGTTACATTCTACCACCTCATATCTACATATATGTATTTCCATTCCCTCTTGTTCAATATTTAGGTGGTTCCAGTATTTCACTATTCTTGCGGCCGTATCTTGGTGCACAGGGACCAACCAGGTTTGTTAATCGTGGTTGGAGTTGGCTCAGTCATCTTCTGTATGGAGTGTTGGAAATAGCACTGAGTAGGAGTAGGAGACAAATCCGGGGATGGTACTCCAAAGTCTGTGTCCCTGGATAACTCACCATGTGTCTTTGAACCTCACTTGCACCTGGGGAAGCTTCTGGTTATGGGAAGGTCAGAATCATGGTGGGCTGACACCCAGGGAAGCCAGGGCTGTCACAGAGCTTCCCTCCTCTGGAGCCCCCCATTACACACCCCATGGCAGTCAGCATAATTGAGACCTGGCCATGGGCACAGAAATTCATTATCAGAGCCAGCTGAAGACAGGGCGCCCAACTGATGTGGCCAGAGCTGCTCTTTCTAATCAGTGAGATACACAGTTCGGGTTAAAAAAAAAAAAGAGAGAGAGAGAAGACAGAATGTTTAGCTTAGGGCTAATGACTAATCTAGATGATGAAAATCTTGGTTTGGGGATTTCCGTTTTTCTTCCAGTTGGTAGTTCTCGGCCAGAGACAGTGGATGTACTTCTGTCCCTGCTAATCTGTTTCTGGTTGTGATTTTGGTTGTAATTTCCAAGCGCTGACTTTGGAGGGGGCAGGCGTGTGTGGGCGTACACACGTGTGTAAGCGAGAGGAGACAGGCTGCTTGATTGACTTCAGCAGGCTGCTGGTGGCCTGAATGAAAGCTACTCATGGCTGAGGCTGAGCTGGTGGCAACAAACTGGCAAGAGAATGGGCAGGTTGGGTTTCTACAGCTGTTACCACTGCTGCGGACTAGCCCCGACACAGTCCTGGGTTGGGGGGGTGGGAGGGGGGGAGAAGCACCATTTGTCCAGTTGGCACTGGGCCTGTAGACATTCCTCTAGCTCTCGAGTGGTGATAGCGCAGTGCTGTGCCCGTGCCAAGGCCTTCCCGCCAATAGGTAAGTGCTTGAGGTAAGAAGCAAGGCACGGCATACACCTAGGGCCCCACAGGATCATTTCCAGGCCCGTGCTTAATTCCAGACCCACCTACACAAGTGTGAGCCGGAGGACTCTCCTAATCCTGGGCCATCTTTCCCCAACAAAGTCAAACCAGACTGACCCAAAGTCTTCTCTAGGCATTAAGTATATATACATATTTTTAGCCATTGAGTTTATGTCTTGCCTTTATAAAAATTCTCTCTGCTGCTTCCATTCCCTGCACATCATGATAATATTCCTCATCCAGGCGGCTGCCTCCAAAGGAAGGTAGTCAGAATTTCTGTGGGTGTCGTAGAGTTGGCACTTTGGATGGCTACCTGGTGGTCAGTCCAGGGCAGTTTTAGGCCGCCAGAATGGGGAGGGAGAGTGGGCTCTGCTTTTCTTTCAGTCCCGAGAGGGAGTCTAAACACGCGGGGCTCGCGGGGCGGGATGGTTTGTGGTGGCTGTGGCGTCAGAGAGAGCTGGACTTTCTGGCTTTTCTTTGATGACACAGTGAGGGTGTGCGCGGTGCGTGTGCGCGTTTAGAGGGCACACTGGCAGAGGCGGGGAGCTGCTGTCCTAACTTCCCTTTGTCTGCTCTTGGGGCTGCTGAGGGGCCTCCGGCTCTTGGTTTTCCCACTGATGGCGGTCCCCGACAGGCAGCTGTCCCAGCCCCGGGTGGAGTCCTGAGCCTCTTCACCCCAAGGGCTGCCTGCTTGTTGTGCCTTGCAGAGACTCCAGGGGGAGGAGGAGGAGGAGGAGGAGAGCAACACCAGCAAAGCGCCCACCACTGTGTCCGAGGAGCATCTCTGAGAGAAAAGGTGGCCAGCACTCCCCACCTCTTCTGTCAGCGCTCGCTGCCGGCACGCAGGTCTTCGCTGGAGCAGCTTTTGGAGGGAACCGGCTGGAATGTTTGTGGCTTGGACGGCAGTGCCTCTGACTCCTGGAACCCACTCAAGAGCTTGCACGGTCTAGCGGGGGAAGATGGTACCTTTCACCGAACGCACGCTCCATACCGGCCCCCTCCCCCTGGCAGGCTGAGGGAGCTGGTGTTGGGAGAGACTGGTGGAGAATGGGGGTCACCTGCATCCCGCAAGGAGGGAGCCTGCAAAATTATCACGGAGAGAAAGCTTATTCAGGATATTAACTTTTTCTAGAATGGCAAGACCCCTGGAAGCCCAGTTCTAAGGAGAGGCAGCTGCTCTGGGTGAGGGTAATTTTGGGCTCATCACACTGGCTGCTGATGTTCTGGGGGAGAGAAAGCGCCAGCAGGAAACATCAGAACAGACCCATCAGGACTCGGCCTCGCTTCTCCTGCCCTAAGGTTGGGGTCTGTTTCCAGACCCTTTCCTGAGAGCTGATCAAACCAAACATCAATAAACTTGACAGAACCTTTGCTGTGGCCATGAAGGAGAAACCCGTTGGGGAGGGTGACCTGCCTAGGTGTGGGAGGGCGCTGGTGAAGGCCTGAATTTGGGAACTGTGGTAGCTTGATGTGGGGACAGAAGGGTTCTTTTCTACAAAATCTCTGCCCAGGACTTGTGTGTGTGTGTGTCGTCACCTCTGATGCCTTCATGTGGCCCCTGCCTTGAGAAGCTCTGCCATCCGCCTCAGCGCTTCCTTTCTCTCAAGGGAGGGAAATCCCAGCCAACTGCCTTGTAACCTTTACTGAAAACTAACCTTGTTTCATTCTACCCTGAGAAATCCACGCTGCTTCTGAGAGAGGAGAGGAAGGGGGCAGAAGGAAAGGCGGCCCCTGAAATGGGAACTGAGTCTGCTTGAATGAAGTGCCTCCTGCCTCTGGAGGGGGTGGTTTTCGCACACCCACCCCTTCTCCCCCTCCCCTTCCAGCAATCATCTTTTAACAGATATTGTGAATTTAAAGGGATTCCCTTTAAACCAACCCAGGGTGACCTCCTCGCCTGCCCAGCCTGCTGTCTGGCTCTACTCACAGGCTGGGGTAGTGTCCCCTGAAAAGAAGATGTTTTAGTAATTTCTCCTGCATTGAGCAGCTGTGATCATGACCATTGGTGCTGTTCGGCTGTGACCACTGCCCGGTCTTGGCGTCCGGGGGCAGCCTGGGTTGGCAGGAGGGCCAGGGTGCCTGGGTCATTGCCCGCGGGGAGCCGTGTGTGTGTGTGTGTGTGTGTGTGTGTGTGTTTGTACAGACATTCCGGATGTTCTGTATGTAAGAGAAGTTCACACTTCTGCTGGGGGGAGTGATGGGGGTGGAAGAGAGGTGGAAAGAAAGCATGTCTTGATTTTTGATAGGGAGAAAGGTGTTCACTCTTCAGCTCCTTAAAGCTTTTTAACAAAATGTTTACCAGATTATTCATTCCTTTATTTTAAAAGCATAATTTGTATTTTCTACTTGTAATACCGGATGTTTTAAGACAATAAAAGATTCTCTAAGTGGTCTGCCGCGTCATTAGGTGGGGCAGAGGTGTCTTTCGGCAGTCCTGAGACTCTCACTCATTTCTGGGGCCTGGGCCGACAGTATGGGAGGGGCCTGGGGCTAGAGGAGCAGCTCCCCGGGCATGCTGCAGAGGTGGGTCCTCTGTTTACACAGATGTGACCCTCCCTGTGGGCTGCTTTTTAAAGACAAGGCTATAAAAGTGAATGTGGGCCTGTGCGGTGCCTTGCACCTCACCATCCCGCCCGTGACCCTGCCTGCCTGCCTTTCGGGCTGTGTACGCCTGCAGACAGTCCACCCAGGGTGGCCGCCCAGAGCCCACTGTGGCTGCTGGCTCGGCCTCAGTGTGGCTGGCCTGTTTGTTCTATGACTGCACCATCCTGCCCTGGCCATAGTCCATGCTTTCGGCTTCTGCTGTTCTGTGTTGCCATTTTTCTTCGCAACTGTCCCACCTACTGCCACTTCTCCCTTCCCAGGCGTGTTCGCCTTATGCTGTGGCTTGGACTTGCTGCTGCTGTCAGTTTTCTGTATGTTTCTTAGTAAAATGCACGGTGCCTGTGGTATTCTGGCACCATTATCTGTTGGCAGTTCTCAGCTGAAGAGAGACTTGACAAGTTCTACTTTAAATCATCTCGAAAGGGAGCCAAGCCTGGCTGTTAGAGAATAATATTCATGATGTGTTCTATTCTAAACCATCTCTTTAGATCCTTTGGGTCTTGTCTTTGCTTATCTGGAATTACATTTCTATGACGCATGCTTAGAGGATCTAAATCCAAACCATGCATGCTTTCATTCACTTTCTAAGGTGGGCTCCATGTGGATCTACACTCACATGCTAACTCTGTAAGATCACTGCTTTTTTTACTATCTCTTGACAATGGTGAGTGAGGGATAGTCCATACCACTGAGCTGTTTTTCTAGATGTAGTGCTGTGGGGATGAGGCGTGGTATCGCTGCAACCACTTTTGGCACCATAAAAGGAATCCAGCCTGAGGATGAAGCCAACATAGGAGGGCAGGATTGAGTCCTGATCAAATCATTCCTGAAGACTATAATCTCCTTAATCTTCAGTTTTGTGAGCCAATATTATCTTTATTGTTTAAGCTAGTTTAAGATGACTTTGTTCCTTTCACCTAAAGAGTCTTAACTGATAAATTCCTAATGCATTTAAGTATCCTCAACTTCAAGCTTCCTGTCATGCCCTTGCAAGTCCCCTGCCTCCCTTCCTGACCTATCTCTTACATTTTGCTTCCTGACTTCACTACGCGGATCTTACTCCTTGAACAAGATGGTTCCTACCTTCCAGATGCTGCTCCCTCTGCCCTAAATGCCTGCCTCATATATGAAGACATCTGATACCCGGGCATTCAAGGCTCAGCTCAGATCCCACCTCCTCAGGGAAGCCTTTCCTGACAATCTAAATCATCCACCCCCTACCTTCTTGATCACAATACCTTGGTTTCTAGAGTTCATATTGTCTGAAGTTGTTCTTTCATGTGTTGCTTTGTTGATTGTCCGTTTCCTGGACTACAGTGTAAGGGCCACTGGGAACAGGGGCATTGCCTGGGTCATCATTTCTCTTTCCCAAGTGTCTGGCATGGACTTAAGTGTTCAATAAATACTTTGTTGAACAATGAATGGGTTCTTGAGTCTCTATGCTGTGTGTGGGCCCAGCCAGTGATGAGCCCATCAGGGTTGTGTCTGGAGGGCAACTATCGGCTCCAGTCCATTGTCTTGGGGTTTCATGTTCTCCTTTCCATGGTCAGGCAGCTGTTTCTTCGCGCTGTTTTCTGTCTCTGCTTTCTCAAGCATCTGTTTCTTCCTTAGGAAGAAAACAAGAAAGGGTCCTGACTGTTCAGTTGTGAACTCAGAATCTTGAAGGTGGGGAAGGAGAGACAGACTGGACTTCAGGAGAAATGAACAAGTGGTAAGAGGGGCTGGAGGCAGCCACGTGTGCCCGGGTCCTTGAGCTGTTCTACTCATTACGGTGTATTTGATCAGCAAAAAGCTGTGATTCTCCTATGCAACGGCTCGGAGAGGGGCAGGAGTGCTCTTGGCTTAGGGGAGGTCAAAGTACAAGGACTGATCCAAGCAGACGGTTTTTCTATTTATTACAAAATTCGTTACACAAATACAGCTGACCAGAAGGTCTAAAAACAACCCAGACTCTTCCAACCCTGATCCACTTGTAGACACAAGTATATGAGCCATGCTTACTCACAGGGGAGCCCTTCTTAGAAGGACTGCCTGTTCATCAGATGGTTCAGAGTCTTGGGTCCAGCAGCAGAGAGGAGCCCAACCTGGGAGGGCAGCCTCCTGAAGCAGCCCTTGGGGGCAGCTGCTCTGGGTGACACAGCAGCTGTAAGTTTCATAGTTCACGTGTTCCCACCACACAAGTCAGGGGAAGGGATAAAAAATGGAAAAAGCAGAAGGCTGGAAAAGGGATCCTGGAAGAGGCTGTAGGTGGGGGAAGGGCACACAGTGGGTTTCTGAGGTGCTGGAAATTTCTTGATCTGGGTGAAGGTACAGAATATTCAGTCATTTAAAATGATTCTTTCAATTGTACGTATACATTATATACTTTTCTGTATGAAGGTTAGATCTTAAAAATTTTTAAATGTAAGAAAAACCCCAAACCTAAAAGGCTAGCAGTGGTAAGGGGGCTCAGGATGGTACAGAAAAGAAGAAATGAAAGAGGAGGGAGGATGAAGGAAGGGGATGGCAAAGGTGGAAGACGAAGTCTTGGAGGTGGTAATGCCAGCCTCAGTTTCTCTTCTTCTGTCTGGATACTGGTTCTACTTCTAGGTACCGGAGCCCAGCTAGCATACCCAGGATTGAGAAACCTTAAATAAGAGAAAAGAGAGGTGGCTGACATCAGCACAGCACTTTCTTACACTCTCGTATGTCTGCTCTCCTGCCCCCAGCCCTAGGGTGCAGTTCCCATGGGAGCCCGGGGGAGGGGGTCGGATGCTTACTTGCCACCATCAGGGGGGCCAGGACGCCAATTGTGGGAGCTGCGGTCCCAAAGACAAACAACTCAGAAAGGAAGTGCCCCAGGGCGAGGAGGAAGGTCCAGAGTGTGATGTGGTACAGCCTACAAGGGAGCAGACAGAAATGGGAACTGGAGGGCCTGCCCGTTCAGTGCAGGGGACAAGCGCGCGCGCACGCGCACACACACGCACGCACGAATCCAAACCCAGCAAGTGACTATGGCTAAAGGAAGAGAGACTTGGGCCCGAGAAAGACCTGTCTGCTTGATTACACCAATTTACCCTCTACTAGGGCAAAACCAAAGGTTTCAACTGCTAGACTGAGAGGAGAATGGTCTCAGCATCCACGGTGGGTCTCCAAGTCGTAGCAAGGTGGTGAAGCCAGCCACAGCAAAGCAGAGTCTGGTTTATGGCACGCCTAGCAGTATAGACAGTTGGGGATCAATCATACTTACAGATTCTACGTAATCAAATTGGCTTGGCTCTGTAGTCCAAGCCCACCTGACAGGTGTTGGGCCAGGGGCTGGTCAATGCTCATAGGATGGATGGCACAAAATGAAGGGCCTGAATGCAGCATGAGCACCGAGGACCTCTCTGGGGCTTTTAGATGCTCTTGCCACACGGGCTGTTATTTTGTGTCTTAGCCTAGGAGCATGATCAGGTGGAGGACACAGTGATAACCTCATGGGAAGAGAACGTGTTCCTCAGTTTTGATGAAGAGGTGGAGAGGAGATAGGTTATAGGATGACTGACCACTTGGATTGGAGATTTATTTTTTTTAACTATGAAATTTAAAAAATTCTGAAATATTTCAAACGTACAAAAAATTGTTCATGATAGAATACTATAATTAAGCTGTATGCAACCAATACCCTGGCTCCATCCAATCCGGATGTTTTGACATTTTTGCTTCAGATACTTTTTTCTTTTTTTTTAATTTATTTTTCTCTTTTTATTTTTTTTTAATAATTTTTTTTTTAAATTTATTTGACAGAGAGCGAGACAGTGAGAGAGGGAACACAAGCAGGGGGAGTGGGAGAGGGAGAAGCAGGCCTCCCTGCCGAGCAGGGAGCCCAATGCGGGGCTCGATCCCAGGACCCTGGGACCATGACCTGAGCCGAGGGCAGACACTTAACGACTGAGCCACCCAGGCGCCCCCAGATACTTTTTTTCTAATAAATAAGATATTACAGATATCAGTTAAAGCATTCTATGTAGCCTTATCTCACCTGGATCCCATTCCCCTGCTCCCCAGCTCCCCAGAAGGAACCGATACATTAAATTTGATTTTTATCATTCCTGTACATGTTTTTATACATTTAGTAAATATGTATGTATGGCTGTTGATTTTGAATTTCTGGTTAGAGAGGAAATAGAATCAGAGTGTATGTCAGAAGAGCACTGACCAAAGTCCCAGGTTAAAAAAGGCTAGAAACAGAAGTCCGCATTTGTGGCTATCCTGTGTTGGGAGAAGGGGAAATGAATGGGTGATAATGCGATAAGTCGCATTCCAAAAGCACAGCAAATGAAAGCTATACCTCTTACACCTATCAGCAATTTGTCATGGTAACGGTCTTTAAAAGGATTATTTAATTCTTCCTCCCTCCCTGTCAGGCTGAGGGGTAGAGCAGATATACTAGTCTCATTTTATACTTAAAGAGACCAAGAGGCAGAGAAGGTAAACAGCTGATCCTTGAACAACATGGGTTTAAACAGCATGGGTCCACTTATATGTGGATTTTTAAAGATAAATTGCAGTACGCTACTGTAAATGCATTTCTCTTCCTTATGATTTTCTTAACATTTTCTTTTCTCTAGCTTACTTTATTGTAAGAATACAGTACCTAACACATAAAATGTACAAAATATGTCTTAATTGACTTTCTTATCAGTAAGGCTTCTGGTCAGTAGTAGGTCATTAGTAGCTAAATTTTGGGGGAGTCAAAAGTTATACACGGATTTTCACCTGTGGGGAGCCAGCACCCCCAACCCCCATGTTGTTCAAGGGTCAACCGTATAATGAACTTGCCGCTACAAAAATAGTTACTAATAGAACTGAAACAAGAACCCATTTTCTTGTTTTCATTCTTGGGCCCCAGGCTGTTTTCACTAAACCATACTGCTTCCCAAAATATGTGTCAATGTAGAACGAGTCAAACCATAGTTTCAAGTTCAAAAAAAATTTAAAAAAGTTGGAGAGATCACAGGGTTAATATTTAGCCCTGCTTCAAATCCCACTTGAGTCAGTCTTCCTTAGTTCAAATTAACTGGGTCTCAAACATGTAGATCTGCAAACTCGGGAATGAAAATCATTACCTCCAAGGGCTGCTAGGATTAATCAAGGTCAGGCAGGTGAAAGCTCCTGGCATAATCAGAGGTGCTCAGTAAATATCATTACCTCTTCTTTCCCCAAATGCTAAGGGCTTCGATACAACAGAAAAATATTTTAGTGTGAAGTTGACATTTTGGTGGCCTTAGCCAGTGACCTGAGCAAACTTTGCCCTTTGACTGTGGGGAGGATGGCTAGAAAGAAAGTTCGAGCCCCCTCCAGTGGTCATCACCGGTTACAGCATGATATGGACAAGAGGCTATGGTTGTCTGCCAATGTTCCACCCTAGTCTGAGTACCCTAGAGAGGCAGAATATAGGAATCCTGGGTTCTCTTTCACCCTCACCTACTGACTCTGCATAAGCATGCAGCAGTTTACCTGTGGGTTCCTTTTTTCATGGATTGTGATTTCTGTTCATTCCTACTTCTTAAGGAGGAATGTGAGAATAAGGTATATGTGGGCGGCTGCTCTAAAAAGAACACACTCTACTTCTTTAGTAGCAGAAAGGCTGATTCTTTAGTAAAGAAATAGAGGGTATGATGCAGGCCACTAGATCATGACACTACCAGCTGCTATTGCTTCCACAGAATTTTCAAACTTTAAAGACCTGTGAGGCCTATTACTTTTTTTTTTTTTTTAGGCCTAGAAAGAACAGAACCTATTAACCTTTTATTATCCACTTTCTAGGCTAATGTATGAAAATTATCAGGTCTCCAAGGGGAGGACCACACTGGGTTATGCCTAGCACATGACTTCCCACGAAAGGACGCTAAAGCTCTTCCTTCCCTTACATACGTCTTGTTGTGGATGTCGATGGCACAGAGGCAGCGAATCACTGACGACAGCAGCGTCCAGATCCCAAAAGTCCGAGCTTGGAGGCCATTCACTGTAGAACAGAAAAAAGCAAGAGTGTCGAGAGGGGAGACTTAGGGTTCCTTCCAAACTCCTCTTAGGTCACTGGTGGTTCACGGGAGGCAGGCTGCTGAGCCTGAACTCCCTTTGGCTGGGTGGAAGGGAGGCTTGGCAGCTGCATATGACAACTAGCAGGAATGGAAGGAATTCCACAAGGAGAACTGCCCAGCTCCTCTTCAACTGTTTACAGTTGGGCGGGGGCATTTCAAGAGTAGAAACCCAACAAAGAGCCCACTTAGGCAATCACTCCTGACTGTAGCAGTTTCTACCTCTGTCCTGAAAGCCACGCTGGTGCAGGTGAGGTCCAGCATGTCTGGATCAGGACAGGTCTGGGGGAATGTTGTAGACAGTGGGGCATCAATACGAGGTGCCTAGGAGGTCAATAAACTTTCAAGGCTGAGGCAGGA